TCGGGGGGGGGGGGGCCTAGCTAGGGGGCGCCCTGATTACTGATTACTGACCCCAACACAAAGTCTCCCCCAACTTCGCGCCCCGCGCACCTCCCGCCCCCCCCCCCCTACGAGCTCGTATATCGGAGTGGGCAAGTTGCATCCGCATGATACATGCGAGTGGTTTGCACTGCGGGAGGGTCATATACGCACCGGTGAGGCCGATATACGGCGCGAGTCGCTTTACAAAACAGCAAAAAGCGGCAAAAAGAGGAACCGACTGAGAGGGACCCATCTACCATGTTCAAGAACATGTGTCAGGGGAATTCCGAGGATCGAACTCGGGACCTCTCGCACCCTAAGCGAGAATCATACCGCTAGACCAAATTCCCATCTTGGCTCACATCGCTGCAAGCCAGTCGGTTGGAGATTGAGGTTCCCGAGAGCCTACCAGACCCAGCGGGTCAGCCACTGGGGTTTAGCGATAATTTATGGACTAGGGTCTAGCATCCTAGGACCGTCCTACGGCAACCCCCTAGGACCTCCTACGAGGTCCTACGAGGCTCCCGCTCGGGATCCCCGGGATGGGGTTTAACTTTAGGGCTTAGCGAGTGCTCCCGTCCGGAGAGAAAGACAAAAAGAAGGTAAATGGCTCCAAAAACAGGGCCATTTCGGCAAAAAGAGAAACCCGCGCTGAGCGCAACGGGTGCCCCATGCGGGGCTCGAACCCGCGACCTTCGCGTCATAAGCACGATGCTCTGACCAATTGAGCTAATGGGGCATGCTATCAATGACAAAATTTAGCCAACTCCACTTTGTCCCCAGTTGTGGTTTTATACGAACCCTGTAAGGGAGTCACGAGGTTTGGTCACGTGGGTACCCCCAGAACGCACCGCTTCGCTTGGATCCTACAAGTTTCGTGGTACAAAGAGTTTTACCGGAGATACACCCCGACGGGAATGGTGACTTTTGGCGTGGTGCAACTTTGAGGGAGAGAAATCCCCACTTGCCCACATGGGGAGTGGAGGCGGAACGAGCACTTCCTGCTCGTCCGCCGCTCCGCAGCGGGATCCCAGGCAAGGATTTCACAAGAACAGCAGGGCCTTTCGGTAGTCCTGCGCGCTGGCGTCCACGGAGGGCCGCCTTGGGGCTTGGACCCCCTGGGGTCCGCACCGACCCCGTGGGCCGTGCCGGGGGTTCACGCTCCTGCTTAGAGGCTCATCCCGCGAGCGAAGGACCTGCGGGTGATCTGGCCCTCCGGCTGGGGCCTTCCGTGCCCTCTTGGGGTTCGGGACCCGCCCACGGCTTCCCGTGGCATGCATGCTTGCACCCTGAACCCCATAAACCCTAAATCCTGAACCTGAACACGCGGTCCCTCACGCCCCTGCTGAGGGGGTTGCGGGACCTCCAGGTGAACGGCCCGCCGGAAAGGTCTCGATGGACCCGGAGGGCCCTCTTGGGTCTTGGCTCAGGCCCCATGCCACGGGGCATGCTTCGCTGCGGTGAACCCACGCTCGGTTTGGCTCCTTTGCCGTGTTCTGTTCTAGGACGTATGGGTTGTGCCCAAAGGCTCGTGCAGGCCCGCGGGGGCCTTCCGCCAGGAGCCCGGGCACCGCGCTGTGGCCCGCAGGTAGCTGCCCCCTGTTGTTCGCTGCCTGTGCCGAAGGACCCCATCAAACGACCCCAACGAACGAGCGGCTGCGATGCGGCGGGGTTGGTGCAGCGGCACACGCCGTCTTGCGTGCTGAACCCTGCTGCGTGTTTTTGGCGCACGGTTCGGTTTTTGAGCGTTTGGGGTTGCTGCATGCGTTGCATGTAGGAGGGAGGACTATTGCCAGATCAACAAGACCGTTCTGCGTTGATGTGATGGCTGTAGAGCAACGACCATTATTGACAGAGCTGACTCCAACCCCCGAACCCCAGACCCCAAACCCCAAACCCAAACCCCCGAACCCCGAACCCCGAACTACCAGCCCCGAACCCCGAACCCCGAACCCCGAACCCCAGCCCCAAACCCCA